GGATGCGGGCCGCGTAGGACCGGTCATCATGGGAATCCTTGGAGGACGCCTTTGTTTAGCAGTGGACGTCATTTGGCTGAAACGAACGAGGGTAGAAACTTAACTTACACAAGTATTGTCACCACTGTTTTGCATGTGAGAGAATATACAGGGTGTTGTAAATGTAATGGTAATGTAAATTTCTGATTTCACTATACCATTTATATGACCATGTTAACATGGGCTAGTGTCGGCTCATATACCCATTTACCTAACACCCTGTAAAGAGAACTTCTTGACTTCTTGCTATGTGGATTCATTTATTTAATAAAAGGTTTATTAAAATGTAAGTTTAAGTTTGTCTTCTTCTGTGACAGTAACACGGCACTCGTCTGCTACAAACAAAGACTATGCAGCTGATCTCGTAGATGACATAGCTAAGACAGAAAAGTATAGTCATCCTGTACAAGTACGCATTCTACAGTTTTGGTTCTTTATCATCACCTTAATTTCATAATGGACTCTGCTGAATTGATTGTGTCAAACAAGTGGCCTTTATATGTTAAGTTAATAGTAGTACTTACTTTTACTATACTCTAAGCACACAATATGTTACTTATGTGTCACAGTATTGTCACATACCTACTTATTTTATGCGTGAGTTGGAATGTATCCAATATTGCATGTAATTTTCCATTTCAGATTTTAATTACTAGTTCTAATATTATAACATTTCTTGCTACCTACGTTTTAAAAGTTCCTCTATAGTCTGATCCGGGAGCACGTAGAATTTTGTCCAATGACCCCAAGCTACCCATCCTTATCGCTCGCGTGTAATTATATTGCTGTCGCAATTGTGCGACGGGCGCCCGCAGTGAGTGTGCGAGCGCGACAGCAACATAATTATGCACGAGCGATAAGGATGGGTAGCTTGGGGTCATTGGACAAAACTCTACGTGCTCCCGGACCAGACTATTATTATAGAGCATGTTTTACATGTTAATACAGATACTTAAATCGTTGGCATATTTACAGCTTCTCAATATTCATACTGTTCTTATTTGACTATGACATGAGAGAGATTCCCGGTTCATTTTTCACTTGCCTTGAAGTTTAATATCAGCGCCTTAAGACGCCATGTGTTATTAATGGACAGAGGATCTTTCCGATAGAATACTGTGCACCACGATATTAGTATTAGTGCAGTAGTTATTTTTTTTAGTTGGTCGTAAGAAAAAAGGATAAATTTGTGAATATCTGGCAACCTCAACCCGTCTGTGCAGTGTAAAGAAAAAAAAAACTTGACAGCACACATTTACTCTTAAAACCAATAGAAAGAAAGTAAAAAATGATCGTTCATGACTCGTAGCTGCAAAGATCACTAGAAGTCAGTGGGAGTGCGTAGGGAAATTACCAACTTCTATGTTTCTCAGGGCTTACATAAAATAATAATAAAATATTCTAGAAATCGTATGCTTAAAATATTATTAAACACTTTTCTCTTAATGTCAGCAGACATTTTTCTTGGAAGAAATAACGAGATGTTGGTGTTTTAGTCTTGAGAATTCGTCTATTAACTAACTTACCCTTAAAATATGATTTCTCAGAAACAATCACTATTATTCTAAAGGCCCAAACCTTTTTCGTAATCAATGCTAAGCGTCCATTGTGGATCTACGATCGCTCACCTGGATCTTCGCCGATTTAATCCACTCCATTTTCTTTCCATTCAAAACCGCTTGAATGGAACGAACAGTTCGTTGGATGTATTCGGGGATAATAAAAAAGACCGTAAACAAAAATATTCATGAAAACATCTCGACCTGAACAATGATTAAAGTCGTACTCGGCCACTTCAATTATTTAAAGGGCGCCCACAATAGTCCTTTAAAAGATATGCCGGCATAGTCAAAACTGAACAGCTGCCACAGGCAGTGGGAGACATTATTTTACTGTAAAAACATTTTCTCACCAGTTAGTCATATTTGCCGGTGGCGGGGCGTTTTGTGGCTGTGGCGTTAAGCTCGTGTTCGGCGACCCCTATAGTCAATAGCTGGATATAAGCCTTCTAATAATTGCATGATCTTTAGTTAGTTACTTTTATCCAGCCACTGCCAGGAGTCTTGTTGAGATCGTTGCTAGATTTCGACCTTGATTCGACCAGTCCCACACCGACACCATTGGGCTATTTGTCGCTTAATAGCAGCGCAGTAAAGGGCAGTGTAGTCAAAAAAAAAAAAAAAAATGTAGTTGCTTCAAAGATTTCTGACAGTTTGACATCAATTACATTATCTTACGACATTCGCATATCAGAAGAATATGATCCTTGCCGTTTTCTAGGAGTAGTAAACTTTGCTACACTACTTACTTACAATACATGTAATAATCTACCTAAAATAACCGTATAATTTACTTACTTATTCCTTTTTTCTCCGGACGAAATGATCTGACTTTCTTTGCCCGGCTAGGTATGTCTAGCAAAAGGGATATAACTGGTGCTCGGATATCCGGATCTCGGGAACAAACTATTATCTTAGTTTTTCTCGTAGACTTTCCAAAGGAATTTCCATTAAATCTGGGCTATTAATTAAGTGTGGCAGTCTACGTTGCTAGGTTTTATTGTTTTAAAGATAATTAAAGTCGGTGATTGCGATTCAGAGCGTACTTTGAGTGGTTTGATGTTAATTAATTAAAAGTGAATGAAAGGTGACAGTCGCAAAGGTCTTAGGTTCATTTTGCAATTTTTTAATTTGAATCTTGCTTTCTCAATCAAGCTGTTTCTAAGACCTGAACTATTAACTGATGAAATCAGATGATGACGTAGTACCTAAGTACTTTAAATGTCTTTTGCCTAAAAAAATCGAATATGCTTATTCTAGAGTAGATTTCTGTTGATTCGGTGTTTAATTTATTAATAAAAACACTGAAAGTGGGCCCAATTTGTGGAAGATAAAATATTTAAAATTTAATCCAGCGACTTGGCCCGTGGACCAAGCTAAAAGTGGGCCAAGTCACTGGAAGACTCGTCCTATTGGGCGACTTCGTCCTTGAATAAGTATTACCGTATTAGATAATGGACTTTTGAGATGTTGTCAAGTCATAGAAAGTACTCATTGACATGTTTCGTCTTTTGAAATAAAGCCGCTGACAAGCCGCCGCTCTTGGTGTGTGAATTGTACTTCACAATATCCAGTATGTCGACATCTAAATTCTTCTATTCCCCACCCAAACTATGATCTACGTTCTGCCATATCCCTAAAACTAGACGAATGTCCCACCCACTTCATTTCACCACACAATTTCCCGAACAAATGAAGGAACCAATACAATGCCGGCGAAAAACAATATCGCCCAAAATGGCCGCCCAATGAAGAATTCTCGAACGATTGTACAAATTTCATCATTGTCTTCAACAAGGCTATGTAAATTCTGGGTAAACGAGATATTTGGACTGTATTGGTAATTTGGGCCAGGTGTGTACCCCGATCACTCCAGCGCGCCCTGGGGAATACCCTGCCAAAGTTGGCCTATGAAAATGGGATAGGAATAAGCCGCCTTATGAATAATCTTTAGGAATCCTGATGACATTTTTCGATTCCATCGATTGGTCCGTGGAATTGAATTGTTAACTTATTTGTGAAAACATTTGATAAAAAAAATATCAGTCTAGCAGCAGTACCGTAAGAACCAAGAACAACCAAAGCCATCTCATCAAAGGCTAGACCGCCCATATCATCGCATCAACGCTCAGTCCTATCAACGATAACCCGTCTTTACCTATTTTCCTAGACCAGGCTCAGGATGCATATCTACTTGGTTGTGGACTTGTGGTCGACCGGTTGCGGTTTAAAGACGCAGCGGCTAGTCGACCGTCCTCTCCCATCCCAGAGTGTGTCCTTCCTTAAAATCGTGCCTCCTGGTATGCCGGTTTGGCCGGAGCAGGCATAGATAGTCATCGTGAGTGAGCACTATCGTATTTGTACTTACTCTGCTATCGTATCGTACAGATATTATAATACTAGTCTAAAAAAATGTATTAGGTTTTTAAACCTAATACTCTTATGTAGGTATGTTACGGTCAAAGTGATAAATGTGAAAATTATGAATAATCGCCGGTTATTATGAATAATCACCGCATGATTTGGTAAATGTGATTAATATGAGGTCATTTATGTGTGTATAAAACTAAATAGGCGGCTTATGGGTGGCCCAAGGGCCACCCCCGCCGCACCTTAACCTATTTTTCACTTTAAATCAAAACATTATGTTATAGGCATCATGGAAAAGTAATATTATGCAAGAAACATTCCAAACTCATTATGCCAAATTAAACTAATATGATATTAAAACGTTCAAAAGTTTGGCTGTACACGAGCACGTACACAATATGTTGTTCTCTTTTATGAAATTTGTTAGTACTAAGGTTGAATTATTAAATAATCACTGTTAAATGTGATTAATTTATCACTTTTACCGCGACTGTCGGTAATTATTAATAATAACCGGTTATTATTAATAATTTTCAATTTATCACATTAACCGTAACAGGTAGGTATAATAAGTCCAGAGTTTTCAGACATAGGTAATATATGCTGTCAACTGAAATAAATCTGTTAGCTCTAATGTATTATGTTTAAAACCTCCTCCTTTTTTGAAGTCGGTTAAAAAAATAGCAAACAAGACGTTCATAATAACATATCATGTCTCTTGTTACGGAGGAACACGTGTAGGAATAAGTTAAATATAAACTTATTTATTCGCCCTCAAGAAGCGAGAAAACTCGGGAAAATTATGTTCCACGAGTCACAGAAGAAGCTCCGATTTGATTTCATGTTAAGTTCAAAAAACTTTTTTAAATAAATATTTTGTCACAGTCATTAGGTGTCATAAAGTATTTCTTTATGTGACATTTTATTTATCTACGTGCCTAGGATCCTAGAATTATATCTAATAATGTGTTGTAGTAGTGGATTAGGAATAAATAAAATTTTACGTTTGAACAATTTATTTATAAACGTTGGAATGGAATAAATACAATAATATTTCCAAACTACGCCATAATGTTAGCTTAATATACTAATAGGATCTTCCTTAAATGTTTTTTGTCATTTTCATTAAAATAAGAGCAATTCCAATTTATTTATTTACTAATTAATTTGACATTAGTATGCTTGTATAAAAATATTTAATCAAAATACCCGGTATCGAATATTTGAGATTTTTGACTCCAATTTAATTAGTTAAGTACTTTAAATTAATGCCAATTAGGACATTTTTATTCTGATTTAATAAATAGTACTACTTGTAATCAAATTATTTTGAATAAATAATGATATTTCCAATTTTGAGAATTTATAATTTCGCACACCATTCATTCAGTTCATTAAAATATAATCACATGCATTCATAAATATAGTTTATCGACCCTAAAGAATTAGAACATAATTAACTAAATTACAATTAAATTCAAACTTTTACGACAGGTGCTTCTTCTTTTGGCTTCTGTTCCTCTGGCATGGCTACTTCTGTGTCGTTCTTTACTTCCTTCTGTTCTTTGGTCTGGCCTGCTGGCCCATTGATCAAGCATTCGATGTACGGAGGAGGCTGGTCTTCGACTGGCCGAGTTTTCTCTTGCCTCAATTGTTTAATGTACTGGTGTATGATGATGAGGAAGATTGCGGCAAGCACTGTGAAGAAATTTGTTTTTATATAACAAAGAATTTGGCTATATTTTGTGACTGAAGCATATTATAGCCTGCGTTCACTTTGACCTGACCGCAGAAAGCAAACAAACCCTTGATCCACCACCTGGATGATCATCATCATCATCATCATTTCAACCTAACAACTGCTGAACATAGGCCTCCCCCAATAATTTCCATATCGCCCAGTTGGTAGCGGCCTGCATCCAGCGCCTTCCTGCTACCTTTATGATATTCACCACCTTTTGGCTGGATGGCCTATCCTACGTTTTCCGGACTGCACTCCAGAACCTTGATGCGTTATCGGCCGTCAGTTCTGTGTATGTGCTATGAGCCCTGCCCATTGCCACTTCAGCTAGCTAATCCGTCGGGCTATGTCAGCGACTTTGGTTCGTTCGGATCTCTTCATTTCTGATCTCGTAAAGAAACACCGAGCATAAAATACCCGGACGATGATGATGATGAACTATCGTAATACTCACCAATATCGAAGAGCTTGACGAACCAGTACGCCTCGATGGTGGACACATATCTGAACTCAGGCTGGTAGCTGAAGTACATGACCTGGAGGACCAGCTTCACCACAGACAGGCCGAAGAACATGCGCATTGGCTCTGGGTCTTTCTGAAAGTATAAATAAATAAAATAAATTCTGATATTACCAGGTTTTCGGAATCAATGGTACTAAAAACCAAAGGCAACAGCAAATAGCGGCTGGGTGAACAAGTGGGAGATCGTACAGTCAGCGTCAAATAGTTCGTGATACCTAAAGTAGCAGAAAAGTTACGGAACACTGTGAGACCTCATAGTGATGTTTGTGAATACGGGCGGTAGTCAGGTTAGTGAATATCTACAGTAACTGAAAAATACTACAGTTTTATGTGAGACTAGTATATGCTCGCGGTTTTGCACACGGAAATTTGATATGAAATGAATGACTACGGACTCCATTATGTAGAGTTAAGAAAATTATTTACAAAAGAGCAACAGGAAAATACATAAAGGTCTGATTTACAAAATTGAGGTTTTTGTATGCATTTATACCATTTTATTACAGAATTATTATATTATTGACTCTTCTTTTGGTTTTATTCGAAATTATAACTACTTACCTTGGTTGTTAGTATGATAAGTTTGTGAATATCCTGGTAGATTAAATGATTATGTCCTTAATAAACATACATATATTATCATTAGGATAATGGATATTATCCATCCTCAATAAACTCTTTTACGAATTTCACCCAAATGACATTATCCATAAGGCTGAGAATATGAATTAAGTACACGCAGCATGACAGGGTAAAACCAAATTTCAAAATAAATAAACAATATCCTCAATACATACCTGGTGCAGAGCCACGACATAGGCTTTCACGAATTTCAACCAAATGGCAGTATCAATAAGGTCGAGAATATAATTAGGTACTTACGGAGCATCACATCACAGGGTAAATCCAAAATAAAATATAAAAAAAATCTCAATAGGTACATACCCGGTGCAGCGCGACGACATACGCCTTCACGAACTTCAACCAAATGACGTTGATCATAAGGTTGAGAATATCCACTAAGTATACGTGGAGCATGCCAGGGTAGCATTTAGGCTGGGAGCTCATAGGCATGTAGTCTATGAACACGTTATTTCTGTTCCTTAGGATGAGCGGGAACGGATAGAAGCCGTGGGTCCCAAGGTTGATGACCAGGAGGAACGGTTCTAGCCAGGGCCAGTCGATGCTTGCGAGCTGAAAAAAGGATTAACAGGTTAATAGACTGTACTATTCGTTCGTTCGTTTCAGCCGAAAGACGTCCACTGCTGGACAAAGGCCTCCCCCAAGGATTTCCACAAAGACCGGTCCTGCGCCGCTTGCATCCAGGTACCTCCCGCGACCTTCACCAGATCGTTAGTCCACCTAGTGGGAGGCCTGCCCACGCTACGTCTTCCAGCTCGTGGTCGCCACTCAAGAACTTTCCTGCCCCAGCGGCCATCAGCGTAGGAGAACCAGAGTGACTGACATAGCCCGCAGAATCGCTAAAATCAAGTGGCAGTGGGCGGGGCACATAGTTCGAAGACTGTACTATTATTCATAAAATATATTTATTTGTACTTTAAATTTCTCTAATTCTCTATAAGAACTTCAGGCCGAAAATAATCTCAATATTTTGTTATTCATTAGAAATTAATTAAATGTTTACTATCTACGTAATTACTTCATTTACTTATCTAATGTCAAACACTTTTTAATGAACGTGCTATTTGTAAATGTGTGTCAAAGTCAATGTATCTTATCAATAATTTCACATATTATGTTTATATTTATGTTATTTATATTACTTACAACCACTTCTGGTTTATCTATCTATCTTAACATAATTATTATTTACTTATTATAGTTCAATAGTATTAGTAGTTCCTGTTGTATTTTTATATTGACTAGGTTACTACAACATGCCTACTGGATGGGTAAAATGGGAGGTCGGAACAACTTCATTTTTGCGGCACTCACTCTCGCACTGGTTTAGACTGGTTTGCAATTATTGGCGATATCTTGTCCTTTGTCTTCTGCTCTTATCTTTTTTTTGCCACCTTGGTACTTATACAGTTACTAACGCCCGTATTCACAAACATTACTATGAGGTCTTACAGTACGCGTGGACGCAAAGGGTGTCACACGAACCAATCTTAAAGCTCTATTCAACGTTGTGCGTTCGATTTGCTGCTTCACTTAAGCAAGCTTCGTTTGTGAATACGGTTGTTATAACTCTTGTAAATGATATTACTAACCGAATCCTCGTCGACATCACACTGGAATCCATTCGACACAATGGCGACGATGGCGATATGACACGCTATATCCACAATGCTAGCGATCTGAAACAAATCGCACGGATCATTGATTCACTATTGTTGTATTGTGAAGTATTCTCCATTCACTGAAAGATAGAATAATGTTCAGTCAAAAATATGTGAGAGCATATTTGAACCTGCATATTGTTTATTATATGTAGGTACTAGTACGTAATCGTATAGTTTAAAATTGCATTAGATTGAACGATAATTTCTGATTCGATCGCGCAGGGAAACTCCGAGAATAGCCCGCTCCATCGCCCTTTGTGTGATACGAGCCTTCTTATGAGGCCCATAGTAAGCGACCTCGTCTCAGATCCGTATACCATCACTGGCAACACCCATTGGTCAAAGACTTTTGACTTGAGACACTGCGGTATTTCGAGACGTGAGTATATGGCGAAGCTTCCCGAACGCTGCCCATCCGAGTTGGATTCGACGATTGACCTCTTTCTCGTGACGTATATAAAACGACAAAAAGAATCAGATTTTCTATCAAGAATGGTCGAAATAATGAACTTGAACTAATGATGGTTTGTATCTATCTGCGCTTGACTTGGCTGGAGCTTGAAGAGACTAGTTAATACGAGCAGAGCATTTATTCATAAGTATTCTTTATTGGGCCTGTACGTACATTAACTATTCTCAATCGGTTTAAAAACCGATAATAAGGTAATCAAATTCAAAATTCATTGAGGAAATTCTTGCAACAATAAAAGTCAACTGTGGCTAATACTGGCTCCCGGTATAAAACCGACAAAAACCGGTATAAGTTTAGAATAAAATGCCTCTGAGAGGCAAATGTTGCCAAAAAGTTATCAGATCTCATGTAGAGTCAATCTTCTAACTCTATACGCCCTAATTCTATATTTCCTAACTTCACAAACTCTATCTACCTACTTCAGTCAAAATAAAACTAAGTCTCGAATGAAAAATTTGATTTTTATGAACATTTAATCAAGGCTGGCCAAACCCAAGCACGCCAGCGAGTTAGCCATGGTATAAATGGCCTTGTGAATTTAGTATAGTTTTGCTGGTTGCTCACCTGGAAAATCTATTGGGCCAACCTTGATTTTAAGAGTATCATCCATACCGATAATTTCGTATTTTAGTTAATTTTGTTAATTAATCAATTGGTCTAAAATGAGTTAATAACAGTGAAATACTTACCAAATTCATGTATCCTATGAGGAAACATTTTATCCGAAGGTTGTTGCACCACCGACTGGTCACTGTAGTCATGTTGGCACTGAAAAATATTTACAATTACCTACATGAAATTCGACTTCAAATATTTTATTCAGTACATAGGCCCTTTCCAGGGCACTTATACACGTCCCAAATAATTATGGCTTGCCCTATGTGGTAATCGGGACAACATATAGGCTGGTGCTGAGAAGAAGTGGCGGAAGAAACACAGTCACCTTTGTCAGCCTCTTTTTCAATAAAATAGAGTAATTCATACAGGGTGGAAACGATAAGTGGTCTCACTGGATTATTTCTAAACTATACAAGATATCAAAAAACTTGTTACTGATCCTGTAAGTGCTTCATGATGCCTATCATACGCTATCAAAAATAGGTTACAGAATAAACGTGATCTATCCGAAAATTCAATGTTTCCATTTTCCATACATTTAATACTATCACAGTCATGGTACTCATTTCTTGATATTATAGCAAGTAAAGCCTAAAACTAATGTTTTCCATAAAAATTAAATAAGAATGGAAAGTATGAGTTTATTTAAAGTTTTTTTTTAAATATACTTATAATATTCTGTGGTTTGCATACATGGAAGCTGGAAACATTGAATTTTCGAATAGTTCCAGTTTACAACAGTTTACACACTGCACAAGATTGGTGATTCATTTATGGGGAAATGTATTAAACTTTTCAATAAATTACCACAAACTGTTGTAGAATTGCCCATTCATAAATTTAAAGCACATATCAAAAGCACCTTAATGAAAAAGGGCTACTATAAAGTTGATGATTATATAAAGGATAAAAATGTTTGGAATGTTTAACTACCTAGCTCGCATTAATACTTATGACTATAATTTGTATATTTTAAAGACTGTAAAACCTTGAAAAGGAGGCTGACAATAGTGACTGAGTTTCTTGCGCTGCTTCTTCTCAGCACTGGCCCATTTATTGTCCCGAAGCAGTGGTAGGGTTAATATTGGGACGTGTAAAAGCGCTTTTTTAAAGCCTATTTGCAAAAATAAATGAATTTTATGAATTTTAAATTTTATGAATTTATTCTGTAACCTATTATATTGGTACCATTTGAAAGAGATCGTGAAGCACTTTCAGGATCAGTAGCCAGTTTTTTGATATATTGTATAGTTTAGAAATAATCGAGTGAGATCACTTAACATTTCCACCCTGTTTACATGACACGCAATAAATCTGTGATAGTAATATAGACCAATCCACACTAATTTGTGTGCCTAAATGAAAAAAAAAAGGATGTGTGTTGTGTTTCTAAGCGTATATTACTGAACCAATTTCGAGCACTCTGAAATAAAAAATGTCTTTATTTGAGACTAGCGGCCGCCCGCGACTTCTACGCGTGGATCTCGTTTTACCCCCTTCATCTATCTTACGCGGTTTAGATTTTTTCATACAAATGTTTTTTCCAGCTAACTCCCTTTCCCGTGGGAATTTTGCAATATCCTGTTGTAACTAAGCTTTCAGTTTACTATGATACCTGCATGCCAAATTCCAAGCGTCTAACTTAAGCGGTTTAGATTTTTCATACAAAAGGATTTTCCCGCTAATTCCCGTTCCCGTGGGAATTCCTAAGTACCTATATTAAAACCTGCCCAGGAGTACGAAGAATATTAATTGTACCAAGTTTTGTTAAAATCCGTCGATTAGTTTTTGTTTCTATAAGGAACTCAACATACAGACAGACAGACAAAAATTTTACTGATTGCATTTTTGGCATAGTATCGATTACTAATCACCCCCTGATGTGTAGTTATTTTGAAAATATATTTCATGTATAGAATAGGCTAGTTTCTAAAAAAAATTTTATAGTCCGTCAATTTTAATATAAAAAAATATTGGACACGTATATTTTTAATTTTCAATCAAATAAATAATTACAAAATTATAGTGCGTTGAAGTTCCGTGCGACGTCACAAAGTGCTGCACTTTTACGCACTCACTAACGTCACGGGCCTTTTCTTTAGAACTTTGGCACGCTTTATCTCTTTACATTTTCATTAGTTTTAAAAAGTGAAAAATACGTGTCGAGTAGTTTTTGATTAGCTAACTGAAGGACAAATTAAAACTCTTGCTTTTTTACCCAGGAAACATCCCTATTGATCTGTCTACAGATTTATTATAAGTACCTACTAGTTTTTATCCACGGCTTCGCCCGCGTGAAATTAGTCACAGAACATTATAAATGGGTCCGTGGCCGAGTCCCCCAGTGTTCGACGCACCCGTGGTCGACGCCCCCGATTTATATAAATTTAATATCATACTTTTTTCGGCTTTTGCACTAAGTACAGTCAACAAAAACTAATGAAAAAACAATGATTTTGCATGTTAACTGTTGGTGTACTAAAAACTAAAAGATGTGATTTAATTCCTATTAATTGTTGTTTTTGTTATTATTCCAAAAAATAAAATGTTGTATTTTTTGTTGTAAATACTTAAAACTTTTACAATTTAAACTTTTATTTGTAGTTAGTTTAATGTAGAGAGAGTAAGTTATTTTAAGGACTGATTATTTAATTGTTAATAACTTTGAAGACAGATTGTTATAATTATTTTGATTAGGTAAAACGATTTACATGTTATTATAGGTACTGGATACCTTTAGGTAATCAAAACTGTGATTTAACAATATTGTTATCTAGAGATTTTATGAGACAAATATTTTGGTTTTATTAATAAATAATTATAAATAACAAGACTTCTCATGAATTGAAACTGCATACAAAATAAAACCAATCATTGTTTGTAGGTATCATTATGGTAAAATATATTAAACATTTATTTTGTACGATCAGTAGGTACAAATATTTCTTCGTTTATAAACATTTTTGTGCCTGACTGTAAATTTGATTAAAAATTGCTTCAAATAAATTTAACTGATCGGGGGCGTTGACCACGGGTGCGTCGAACACTGGGGGACTCGGCCACGGACCCTTATAAATTAAAGTCTTATTATTAAATGTTATTCTGATGTAATAAACAAGAATACTTTTAAGTTTCATCGGAATATCCGTTTAGTTGGACTTGAAAGAGTAACGAATATCCACATATTCTTACTCGAGTTTATGGATGATGACTGGATAATGAAATCGAAATTATATTTAGTCGTCAGATATAAAAAAAATAATTTGGACATGTATTTTTTTATTATTTTTTCATTATCGAATAATAAATTAGAGTATATTGAGTTGAAATGTCGCGTCGTCACTTTTGAGTTAAAAAAATTACTCAATCGTGACGTAACGCGTCATTTCAACTCGATGTAGCACTGTTATTATTTAATTATGAAAGAAAATAAGAAATAGGAGTAATATTTTCTAAATATTATCTGTCTGACGGACAATTGATTAAAATTTTGTCATCTAGACTAGTTATTCTAGTGGTGGTCTAAAAGGATAGACCACCTTTCAAAAATTTGTATAAAAATCTGGTTTCACATTATCACCATTGTAACTAGTCGTCTCGAGGTGGCTATCAAGTTTAGGAAAAAAGCAAATTATATCGCGAGCTAAATCAGCACAACGCCATCTAGTGAAAATATTTGTAAGCGTTAACTTCTGTTCACGACGCTGTTTCTGCTAGGGGCACTTTTACCTTTAGTTAGTAAATTTTTAACGTGACTTGGTGATGTTGACTAAAATGAAATTTGATTGATTTATTTGTGGGATACTTTAAATTAGCCATCGTATTATTTGTATCCTCAGACAGACAGACAGCCAAAATTTTTACTGATTGCATTTTTAGCATCAGTATCGATCACTAATCACCCCCTGATAGTTATTTTGAAAATATATTTCATGTACAGAATTGACCTCATTACAGATTTATTATAAGTATAGATAGATATGGGTTTTTTAAATGTAATTAATTTTACTGACATTCATCTACTCTAGATTGCAAACGGAAATAATGAATAGACGTTGGGAATTCCCTTTTGATATAAATTAATTAAAAGGCAATTAATTTAGTATTATTGTTCCGGCCTTCTTATAAACAATCAATTGACAAACACCAGTGACGTAACTTTTTCGCGATTTCGATACATTTCGCCTCTGGTACAGTCGACGGCATATAAGACTACACATTTTTTGTTGAAAAATCGCCTCTTAAAATCCCAGAGTATTTAGCTTGATAAGACGTCGTCTATACATTAGAGGGTCATGCTCCTGCAATGGGGACTAATTGAAATAATGGTGATTTAGATATTTGTGTTATTTTCCATCAAACATTAAAGCAGGGATTCCCAAACTTATTTTGTCTACTGCCCACTTTGAGAATACATTATTTTTAGCGCCTAGTTATACTTGAGAATCGAGAGCTCAATCGGTGTCTAACGCCCGTATTCACAAACATTACTATGAGGTCTCACAGTGCGCGTGGACGCACAGGGTCACACACGAACCAATCACAGTGTGATTAACCATGAGTTTATATTAGGTGTGCTCGCTAGCGACTGCGTAAAAATGACATTAAATGTATGACAGACTGTACAGCGCCCCTAGCGGCTACTTTCAAGAACTAATATCTTCATAGATGTTTTTGATGCACTCGCTAGCGAGCACACTTAACGTAAACTCATGGTAAGCACACTGAGCTCTATTTAACGCTGTGCGTTCGATCTGCTTCCTTTAAGCAAGCATCGTTTGTGAATACGGGCGTAAGAGTCCTAGTAAATCCTGGTCCGTGAGCACGTAGAATCCCGTCCAATGACCCCAAGCTACCCATCCTTATCGCTCGCGCGTAATTATATTGCTGTCGCGACTGTGCGACGCGCGCCCGCAGTGAGTGTGCGAGCGCGACAGCAACATAATTACGTACGAGCGACAAGGATGGGCAGCTTGGGGTAATTGGACGGGATTCTACGTGCTCACGGACCAGGCTTTAGATGAAATTACAAATCACGCCCCAAGCCTCTGTAGGCTTTTTTTCTGGGTCTCTTCATCATCATCATTATCTCAGCCATAGGACGTCCACTGCTGAACATAGGCCTCCTCCAATGCTTTCCATGTTGCCCGGTTGGTAGCGGCCTTCCAGAATCTTGCTGCCCCATCGGCCGTCAGTTCTGCTTACTATGTGCCCTGCCCATTACCACTTCAGCTTTTTAATTCGTCGGGCTATGTCAACGAGTTTAGTTCGTTTACGGATCTCCTCATTTCTGATTCATTCTCGTTAAGAAACACCGACCATAGCACGCTGTGCAGCTTCTGTTTATGGCCTATAGTGAGAGGTAACACACTGCAGCGCCCACAAGGGGGCGTTATTACCCACTTTGGGAAAGGCTGCATTACAGTCTTATCATTACTAGTTATTTAGTATCGGTGTGCAGTGTAATGAGCTCGTTTTTTAATTACCAATCGTGAGTCATCGATTGACGAACAACCGTGCCGGCTAAATGACGAAGGTTTTTAAAAGTAGTCACCTCTGTCTCAAGTCAACATTTTTCTTGAATAAATTTGTTTTTTCGATATTTTTCAATAACATATATACCAATAATTACACAATTTTACATGACAATAACACAGATACACTTGTGGTGTCGGTACTGTCATACAGTCGACCGCACATCGAACTCTACATTTTTTTGGCAAAAATGGCTCCTGTCTCAATTCCATAAGACGCATAGTGTTTAGCTTGAACTACAGCTGTCTCTACTAGCTCTAGATTGTTCAATAGTGGTACTAGAGCCGACTTAATGGAGTAAGTCTGTAGTAGAGTATCTTAAAGACATGATTGTGAGCTTATGGCATGTGTGACTAAATAGTTAGTCACAGGAATAGGTTTGTATTCTGTTATTCTTCAAGGAACAGACGACAGCACTATACTTGTCCTGCTACTTACCTAGACGAAATATGTGTAGTCTAATGTGTATCAAAATTAGTTCAGCAATTTACGTGAAAACAAAACAATCAAACATTTGGACTTGGGATTATTAAGTAGGTAGTAAGCTTGCCTACTATAAATTTATAAGTGGTGTAAAAAAAGCAGCGGTTACTTTAAATGACTCTATGTCGCTAATGTGGGATACTGATAACCTGTCTACTTCGAAAGTCAATGTCATACCAACGCAACACGTGCGCGAAACAACAATAAACTAATCATTCTAGAATTCGATCCACTGTTTTACTTATCGCCTCGCTACGGTTTGAACACACTAAATAAACATAATAACAACTCAAAAAGTACTTTTAAACTATCACTGACCTTTTTGGTGCACTTTCAACTGTTATTTTCCACAAAAACAAGGATAAAACACAACAAAATGACGGCTAAAAGTGTTCTAGTCGATCCGAGCGCAATCAGACTCGTGCGCAGCGCTGCAGCGATCGCGGTGGTGTGCGTTCGTCAGATGTTAATAAGCCAAGGTCACACTGGCACGTCTGACGATGTCGTGACTTGTCGTAAATGTTATAGGCAATTAGTGTAAGGTTGACCGACGAGCGGTAGAGGATATCCGCTTGAATTTAGAAGAAACATAGAAATGTTCACTACTTTTAGTCGCAGTTTAGTATTTGTGGTTATAAAATGTAGCAAAAGCATTTAAGAGAAACGAGGAAAAATATTTTAAAAATCCTTATAGAGTAGAAAAATACAAAATACCATGATGCTATAAGACATTTTGACTGACAAAGTATGAGTAGGTAACTATCTGGCAACGAATCAAAAAATAATAATTAAAGACTACAAATAAACAAATTGTAAATACTTGTCCTGCTACTTACCTGTCTTTAACACATTTTTATTACAGTAAGGCTGAGCACCATTTTATTTTAACCGTGACTATAAACACCATAACCAAGACCGGTGTTTTTGTATGGAGTTTGACAGACTTTTGAAATTTGTTAAAGTTAAAGTAAGATAGTGCAACCCAGCCTAAGTGTATGAAGAACAAATAAAAAGAATTTGCTAGTAAAGTATCATTTTATGCAATTTGTGTAAGCATTGGAAACAGTCTGAACTCATCTTTACATCTCCTTCATATGTATGCGTGCGCTCATCGTTCACTTTATTCCTGGAAAGTCCCCTGGTTATTTTACATGCACACACACCACATGAGGAAAACTGACATTGGTTGATTCAACGTCCATTTCTTGTTTTGTTACGCTTCACCGGCTGCACTTCTAAGTAAAACTCTAATGTATGTGTACGATAACTTAAGAGTTGTTTGTGTAGTTGTGTGGTAGTAAAGCGCCATCTGTGTGCGGTAAGCGAATTGAAATTGATTCGTCAACAAATGCATTGATTGGAAAGTGCATGCGATGGCGCATGAGTAATATGATGATGTTGTGTCGTTCAAAGGTGAAATGAGTAGGTACTTGCTTTAAATAATGACTATCAATATCTTTTCAGTACTTTTCTTATACATTTATGTGTCTGAATCTGCATTTATTCTGAGGTTTCTTCGGGTAAAATCAAACTTTTCTTCTTCTCTTAGGTATTGAGAGCAAACGGGACTATTCCCACCTCTCGTTCCCACCACTGCAACTCCTGTGTAGCCAGGATCTACAGCTTGACCGCCACAAAAACCCAACCAATGAAGGTCAAGTTTGTCCCGGGGGAAAGTTAAACTGTCATTGGACCCGCAACGAAATTAATCAGAAGAACATAGGAGGAGTTCGAAATTAAGGTTCGACTTCCCTCCATTGCAAAGCGGATGACAGGTGACAAACAAAGGTTTAAAACCTTTAAGAAAAAGATTATGCACCACGGACAATAAATTAAATTAAGGGGGCCTATCTTATGAGCAATTAGCAACTACCTGCCAATAATATTTTTCACAAAATCGCTTAAAAGCACGGAAATTTTTCCTTGTCGCGACAAGATCGGTGTAATAAATTGCGGAAACAGATGTATGTTGTATTGAATTAAGCATTATATCACGTTCATGTTTCCAAAGATCACACTCCCACAAGATATGATGGGCAGACTGCTCATGACTGACATCATCAGTGGAACACTCGCAAAAAGGAGACGGAACTAGTTTGAATTCGTGAAGTTTATGTTTAAAGTTGCTGTAGGTATTGAGAGCAGTGTGCTTACCATGAGTTTACGTTAGGTGTGCTCGCTAGCGACTGCGCAAAAAAATTACATTAAATGTATGATTTATATTATGCAGCGGGCCTAGCGGCTACTTTCAAGAAATAAAATCTTCATCGATTTTTTAACGTTAACTCATGGTAAGCACACAGAACTCTAGTGGAAGACTCTACGAGCAGGCAACATACTTATTTTATTTTAAAATGTACCTAACTATTTTATACGAGGGAATAAAACCCAGAACATTTGTATCAAAATAGTGTAACACTTTAACCACCAAGCCGAGAACATAGTTGATTTATCTAAAAATCAGTGGCCCAAATGATAGCGCCTAAATGAAAACATGTAATTTTACTATGAGCTTGTTCCAATTTATATGTAGAAAATGGAAATCTTTAAATAATTTAAAAATTCATTACTAGTTATTTGCATACTTAACAGTTAACAACAATCAACAACTTAGCAGAAAATGTCTTTTTATTTCTGGCATAACACTGTGACCCGCATCGTGGCATGCCACCCATAAATTGCTTACCTATCATTGTCGCTATTATTGACGAGGTAGTACTTTTGCCTCCGGTTTTCATTATGAACAAATAATTCTGAAAATTTTCCTGAAAGAAATCCAATGAATGCGATCTTACAAGTAAAGATTGTTGATTACCTGAAAATCTTATATGCCCATACACTAAAGTTTCAGTATATATTGAAAACATACTCTCGAAAAAACATAACCCTCCTTCTAGCGCAGTCGGGTAATAAGTTCCTAGTTTGTATTTTATCAGCAAGTGGTGAGGCCAGACTCTTAATGTTTTTTAAAATGTCTTTCATTTACGTATTTTGTAGAGAAAAAATCTTTTAGAATTAGTAGACTCAAAGTATTCCAATTAGCTGTTTGTCTTAGTTTAAAAAATAATTAATTATGTCTGACATTATACGGGTCGTGAATTTGTAACCTACCTAGTATAAAGACTGAATTTACTTATTAACCACAGTCATTTATTAGCAAACTTGAACATTAAAACATTTAGCATCAATATACGCGCGAAAATACCGAAAGTCAAGTGACAGATCGTAGTGAAGTGCACGAGTCATCGATTGAATAGTGATGGAATGCGTAGATTCGATTTAACCCGCTAACAACTCGGCCATCCTGCAACATCTTCGGTCCTCCGAAGATGACCTTTGGAGCAGCAGCGTCTGCAGGATCCACCACNTATAAGTAGAATGTACAAGAAATAAAGTACTTTTCATCAACTTGTAGGTAGCGTCCCATACACATTACACACTGAAACTCGCAACAGATCGTACAAATTAATATAGTTTAAGGGTACTGATCGCACTTCTGAACTCTATAAAGACTGAATTTACTTATTAACCACAGTCATTTATTAGCAAACTTGAACATTAAAACATTTAGCATCAATATACGCGCGAAAATACCGAAAGTCAAGTGACAGATCGTAGTGAAGTGCACGAGTCATCGATTGAATAGTGATGGAATGCGTAGATTCGATTTAACCCGCTAACACTAGTTAAAATAATAAGTACTCTACGCATAATAGGTTTGCTGTAAGACTGGTGTATTAAATAAGGTAGGTAAGTATAACCTAGCTATAGTTGATGCAATTCACGAAGGCGAGTGAGTTAGACATGTGTGGTGGCTCGCTCGCTACTGTTAGTTTTTCAAAAGTTTTGATAGACATTACGTTATGTGCATGCTACACACACAAGTAAAGCTCAGTCGCCTTCGTGAGTTGCTAGAACTTATAATAAAATAAAAGCAATCTTTTTTCTTAAAATTAATAAGAACAAACAGCCAGATTTATTGTTCACTAGTTAATTTAGATCGATATTTGTGCCAGGTGCACCGTTTTCAATGCATTATGGATGGACAGATGCCGTGCAGCTGAATATTGTATGGAAACCGAACGGCCGTCTTGTGGGCGGACGTACACTCATTCCAATAAACTTTATTGCTATTATTATAAATGCGACCTAATTAATTTAAGATAATGATGGTGATTTTAAAACCAGTGCATATAAAGAGCAAAGTAGGAAGCGCTCCACGATAAACATTATTATGTTGTAAAAAATCATAAAAACAAAGAGTCAATCGATTTCGGAATTAAAAATTATAACGTTTGTAACTTTGACACGATAACCAACCCACCTAGAGTTGGTAATCGTGATTCTATCTAATTGGTAAACTTTGGAAGTATTAAAAAAATATTAAAAACGATACCAATGTAAGAACTTTGTGAAAACTCTTTTGGCAAATGTGAAGTTTAATTGGTAACTAACTCTATGTGTGTTATGGAATGTTGTTTGTTTTCCTAAAAATAAAATAAGTTATACAGAGGAAAGATTTCATTGTTTGTTTGTATTGAATAGGCTCCTAACAACTGGATTGATTTTAACAATTATTTCGCGTTTAGAATCCTACATTATTTCATATTATGAACATAGGTGGTACAAAGTTCGCACGGTTCAGCTAGTCTTGAAATAAAACTGCATAATATAGCTACATAATAATATTCATTTCACGTTTGTAAACAATCTATCTCACATTCTAACTATATTGTCAATGAATGTGTATCATTTAGTACCAAATAAATACATATATTTCTTTCTGTCTTTCTTTCTTTACATTCTTCTTTCATTCATAAATGGTTAAAAACAATTTTAACCCGACTGTACGTCACTCATTTATTAAAAGACCTACCGCAATTAGAAAGGCTGCAATCGTATTGCCTTGTTGTTTGTAGTTCGAATAAAAATTACCTTATCATTTGTGTTATTAATTACTGCTGTTTAATATTGTGATTGTTATTAATTAAAGACTTTCGAAGTCGGCCGATAATTTGCTCGGGTTTTTAATCAGTATTGAACTGAACATGTATGGAAATGCGCATATTTTGTACCCCTTCAAATATCAGCGAATCGAGATACAATAGAAAGAAATCAATTGTTACTGAAAACGCAGCGTGGGACGTCCACCCACAAGGTGGACCGACGACATCATAAAGGTAGCAGGAAGGCGCTGGACGCAGGCCGCTACCAATAGATCAACATGGATAGCATTGGGGGAGGCCTATGTTCAGCAGTGGACGTCCTATGGCTGAGATGATGATGATGATGAATTGATACTGTGGTCACATGCGACCAAGTATCGGCCGATTACAAATTAGAAGTCGACTAAACTATCGGCCGACTAAAAGTCTGTAATATGCTGGGTAGGGAATGAATGTACTTCACGAAAGACACAAAATACGTTAAAATGGTAGTAATTCGTTCTAATCCAGAGCTCTCAACCTCAAGCCTTC